CCCGGAAAATGTGACCTATCAAACACGGCCTAAGTGTAATATAACATAAGAATAGGCAACAATAGCAAGATCTTACATAATTTTAAAAAGCTACTTGTGCAAATTAATTTTGACACCAATAGTCAATTTGAGCTGAGGTTAGAGCTTCTCAATCTCAACTCACTCTTGGTATTATGAACGAGCCTAAAGATTCTCAATATTTGCTCATTCATTATTCAGGATACAATGGTAAGAACTTTGAATGAACTGTGTGCGAACTAAGGTCAGAGTTTCGTTAAAAGTTCAATGCTTTCTGATCATCCTACAACTATAAATTATTAGAACACGACATTGGCCAAATATCTAATTGTATGCACTGAATAAAAACCACGAATCAAAGAGAATTTCAACTGTGCTAACTGCTATATTATCTCTGCCTAAATTAAAGTTCCCTTAGTTTTAGATTATCTGACCTTACTGTAATAATTTGAGTGAGACCCACCTTTAAAGTCCCCAAAATTGAAAAAATTATAAATAACATAAAATGCATAAAGACACAGACTTACTGGGGTGTAGGATTTTGTGTACAACCCCAAGAACGGTAATTTTATCCCCTGCTTTAATTATCCCACCTTGCATCCTGATATTACTAATCGTGTTCTTGAACTCCTGCTTATTGCGATCTTTAGTCGCATCACACGCAAAAACAATGCGCCCTGGCATGTGAGGATCATCCCTGTAATTGTCACTTCTTTCCATAAAGGTTGGTGCAAAAATCAGAAAAATCCGAGTCCCTGAAAATGCTCTAAATTGAAAACTTTTCTAAGCCTTCCTCTATCCTTGCTTTTGACAACTTGTGTGTGTGATAGGGAGAGGGGGGAGAGGATTTGGAGGATAATTTTGTGATATATATCGGTAGCAAGTGCGGCGAGAATAAGTTAATCCCTCTATGCAACAAGGAGATAATTGCAAAGCAGCTGAAGATAAAATCAATGACTCCATAGTTGAGGGGTTTATTCTTCGGAATCTTGGTCCTTGGGCGACAAACACCTGCATAGGATTCTCAGAGAAGAAAAACGAGGTTATTGTATGGGAAGGACGAGGTCGGGGAGAGAAATGAAACGGTACTGTTTTTCAAAATTCTGCAAAGCTAGAAAATTTTCTAACTTCCCTTCAAGTTTGAGGTTAGCACAGTTCGGTCCCTTAAGTTCTTTGTTTTCTCCTGCATTTGATTGGAGAGTGCAGGTCAACTACATCAATAAACAACTTCAACAAAATGCCCAATTCCACGTGTTTGAGAGGATTAAATTTGTATAATAAAAAAAAATTAACGTAGCACTACGGGAAAATCGCCTTCAACAATCATATAAATGGTCGTAGAATATATATTTGTGATTGTTGATCAAATTCAACGACCACAATCAGTTGGTCATCTGTTGGTTGGCAAAGTGGTGTTGACGAATGTATTCAACTACTAAAAATACGTTTGGTCATTAAATGTATTATTTCAGCAACTAAATAGTTGATCGTAAAATGTTTGAATCGATTCTTTTTTCAACAACTAGTTGTTTGATTATTTTTTTTATCAACTATTTTTATCATTAAAATACAATGAAAACAACCAAATTTTAGTTGCCTTTCATTTCAATTATGAAAGAAATAATGGTTAAAAATTAATATTAATGTTGCGTTTTTTCTATCGCAAGTGTACGATATCGTAACAAGTAATATAGTGGGCATTTGAGTTCGAATTATCGTTCCCACGAGAACTATACTTTAGGATTTAATCAGATTTTTCTAAAGTATAGTTCTCGTGGGAACGATAAT